TGACTCATTTGGATTTCCACCACATCATCTACTGATTGGATGCTGAGCTGGATCAGTTTCCTCCACATTGTACAATAATTTGAGTCCTTTTCCTATTGGTTGTTGATCATTAATTGAACAACGTAATATACAAATTGGTTTTTTGGTTTCTGTTTTCCTGTTTATTTACAACAGCAGAAAATATTGAATTTAGGTGGTTTACTTGGGGAATATAAGTTTTTTCTTTGTTTATATTTAAAAACAAAATTTTGTGCAAATTCCTTCTGAAACAAACCAGATGACATAGTATTATTATTAATCTCGTCTCTGATTATTTTCTTATTCAACCTGTTTTTCTCTTATTGATTGGTATTTATTTATTTTTTCCTTTTTCAGTTAGTACTGTAGGTTGAAGATGTCCTACAGAAGAGAAAGACGGAGTGACAATAATGATTCAGAGCTGGAGGATTTAAAGAACAGGTACTATCAAGAATTGAGAGACAAAATAGTCAAAATCAGGTATTCTGGGAAATATCTCCAATGCCCTTACTGTTGGGATCATAGGAGAAGTGAGTATGATTTCCGGGAGCTAGAAAGGCATGCTTCTCGCATAGCTAGAGACTCAAAGAGTGCAAGCTTTAAAGAAAAAGCTAGACATATGGGTCTACTTAAGTATTTGGATAGGTATGGGGATACATTGCAAAAGTCACCACGATCAAGTCGGAGAAATTCTGAGAAAGAGGTGAGTTATTTAGATGAAAAGAGCAAATCAGCAGAACTTCCTGGAGGAAAAGTGACTGAACCAGGGGAAATAGTGACAACTGAACAGGGGGAATTAGTGACTACTGAACCAGGGGAAATAGTGACTCAACAGGGTGAAATAGCTATTGAGCCATGGAATAAAGCTTCTGAACCAGGGGAAATACTTAATGAATCTGTGGAAACAAGTGTGTTTGCTAAAGAATCCTCAGTAAAATCTTTTGGTAGAACTACCAAAAGAAACTTGCGATCTAATTTTTGTGCAATACCTGCCAGTTCGTCTACGCATAGAGGTAATGGTGAGCTTTTTGTTTGGCCTTGGATGGCTGTTGTTGCAAACATACCAGTTGAATATAAAGATGGAAGGTATGTAGGTGAAAGTGGTCGGAAACTGAAAGAGGAGTGGGTAAGCCAAGGGTACAACCCTGAAAAGGTTGAACCTTTGTGGAACTTCCGAGGTCACTCAGGGTTGGCAATTGTAGAATTTAACAAAGATTGGGAAGGTTTTAAGAACGCTATTGCATTCGAGAAGTCATTTGAAAGGGATCACAGGGGGAAGAGAGATTGGTTTGCAGCGAAGCATAAAGGAGATAAACTGTATGCTTGGCTTGCCAGTGAAGAAGAATACAGGTTAGATGGTCCTATTGGCAAACACCTTAGGAAGAATGGAGACCTTACTACCGTGTCTGACATACAAAGAGAAGATAGAAGGAAAGAATCAACTCTTGTGAGCAATTTAGCATATGCATTGGAGTCCAAGAGTAAGAAATGTGAAGACATGAAGAAGAACATAGGCAAGACTGAAATTTATATGAGAAACGTGATAGTGCAAAAGGAAGAGATGGTTCAAACCTATAATGAAGGTATATATAAATAAACTTAGTTTTGATCATATTCTTTTATTCAAGTTAGATATAGACGAAGGTAAATATTACTTTATGAAATTTGTTCACGATAACACAATTTTTTCCTGTCTGTACTTAGAGATCAAGAAAATGCAGCAAAATGCATATGATCAGTTCCATAACATTTTCATGGAGAGTGAAAGAAGTAAAGAACAATTGGAGGCTCAGAGAGTAGAGCTGGAAACACGGGAGAGAGAACTAAAACAACTCCGAGCCCTGAACAAGAGTGAGAAACTGAAGCTCGATTGCCAAAGGAAAATGGTGTGTCTCTTGCTAGTATATTTCTTTTTTCCCTCTAGTTTTTCTTATTGTGGAAAACTTCCTTGAGATATCACAAAGTATAATAGAAAAAGAAAATTACTTGGTGCTTAGCCTGTCTACTTACTTTGAGTCTGATTGTTAATGGAAGGTATTTAGTATTATTTCAATCTCTGACGCTATGCATTAGATTTACTGTTTCCACAATAATTTTGGTCCCTTCTTTTCTAAAGAAAGTGCAAATATTAGAATGATTGGGTTATTTTTTGCAGAATGAGATGGCTCTTTTGGAACAGAAGAAGGCTGATGAAAAAATGATGAAGCTTGCTGAGGATCAGAAGGTCCACTATCCCTTTTATCATTTATTAATTCCGCTGAACTAAAGGAATTATAATGTTTCTTGATATCTGATTGTATTAGTCAATTGTTTTTGCTTTTCAATGATAGAGACAAAAGGAACAACTTCATGAAAGGATAATTGAACTTGAAGCAAAGCTTGACCAAAAGCACGCATTGGAGCTTCAAATACAGAGGATGAGGGGTGCCGTTGAGGTAATGAAACATTTGACCAATGAAGGAGATATGGAAGATACGAAAAAGTTGGAGTTACTAGAAGAGGAGCTCAAGGAAAAGGAAGAAGAACATGAATATTTGAGTTCTATCAGTCAAAATCTTATTATCAAGGAAAGGAATACCAATGACGAATTGCAGGAAGCTCGCAAGGAGCTTATCAATGTGAACTTTCACTCTGTTTACTTACAAATCCTGAGTTTATCTTATCCTTCTCGTGCTCTCTTTTTGTTGTTATATATTGTTTGATTATATATAGTAATCTCATTTACTCACATACTACAACCATAATTCAGCATACCGACATCATATTTACTAGTTGTCTTGACTGGCTTCCATATAAAACACACTATGTTTCTAAACTTATTTTTCCCATAGGGCTTGAAGGACACCCGTTCTAACATTTGTGTCAAGAGGATGGGCGAGCTTGATGGAAAGCCATTCTCCATAGCTGCCAAGAGAAAATATTCTCATGAAGATGTGGCGGAGAAAGCAATGGAGCTGTGTTCCTTGTGGGAGGAGTACCTTAGGGATCCTAGCTGGCATCCCTATAAGGTAATCATGGATGGAGAAAATGCTAAGGTATGCCTTTCTTTTACATTGCAGAGATGCATTACTAACTAAATCTATCGGGCTCTGCATTGACGAGACTTAGTAACATATGCACTCTATCTCTCACTACTCTCAACACATGTGGACATCAGCATGCACATGTTTTGTACAATTTATTAATGTTTTATTTACTCTATTATTGCACCCATTTCTGTTTTCAATGAGTACACTAATCCTTCCTCTAGTACACGACTTGAAATTGTGGAGTGTTAAAGAATTTTAACCAATCTGTTCCTGAGAGAATGGTTTTGTTTTAGTTCAATCTTCAGAGAGCTATTTCTATTTTAACTACACAAACCTTTATTAGTTCCTAATTGAAGGCCTCTTCAGGAACTTTTAATTTTTGTAGTATCTACTCAATTCAATTTATTCATCGACGATCTCTTCATCTGTACAATTACCCAACCTGCATCCATTAATTTTAAATGGACATTTTTAGTTTTTGTCATTTATCAAGCAATTGTTCTAATGAAACATCCTATATGAATGCATGGGTGTGTGTTTTACTCTAAAACTTGTTTTTCTGTCCAAAACTGATCTGACTACAGTATTTAACATCATTGGTCTCTATATGTTCTAGTATATTCATTCACTAAATCATGATGCACAGTTTGATGCTCATTTCCATAAAGATATTTCTTCAGGAAAGTACATTTTTCCATTGCTTATAACTGACTCCCATCTTTGATTCAGCAAATAAAAGATTTTATTGAAAAAAGTATCTAATTGAGTGTAAGAAACATTTATTGTACATTGTAGTAGTATCATGAAAATGTGTCAATCCAGATGTAGTTCTATTTCCTTGTTTGTCAACATTCTGGTCTTTATAGTTTATGATTTATCTTGTGCAATTGGTCAGGAAGTACTCAACGAGAATGATGAAAAGTTGAAGGAACTGAAGTCTGAATTCGGTGATGAAGTGTACGAGGCTGTGATTACTGCTCTGAGTGAGATCAATGAGTACAACCCAAGTGGCAGGTATCCATTGCCAGAGCTATGGAATACTTGTGAAAAAAGGAAGGCATCTCTGGACGAGGGGATTCATCAAATACTCAAACAATGGAAGATTTGCAAACAGAAGCGGAGGAGATACTGAAGGTTTTTGAGGAAAACTTTATTTGTGATTTCAGATATTACTGATGCAATGAATTTTTCGAGTGTGAGGAACTGATACTTGTGCTTGATCATAAATAATATGGATTATTTTCTAGTCTTATGATACTTGTTGAGAACTGGACGGTTCATGTGAGCCCATAATCTTGTAGTTATGTTTTATTGGATAGTTCTATGCTATTATGAAGAAACTATTTTAGGAAGTAGCAAAAAGTGGGTTCTTCTTGCACTTCGAAATTTTCAGTATTTTTTTTTTTTTGGTTTCCCCCTCAACACAGGTAGTTACTATGCAGGAATTGATAACTTGGAGTATTGCATGAACTAATAACAGAATCTTTGTTAACCTCCTACACTAATAACACTTCTCACAAGCTAGGATTGAGGCTGAAATCGAAATTCCTTGGGCCTATCAGCAAGGTATAAGGTATTGAACATAGGGAAGAAGTTGCTCCACTGTCGAAATCAAATGGAGCAACAGGCTATGTGATAGAAATCTTGTGTTCAACATATCATCTTGCTATCCAAGTGTCAATTGCATTTAAAGTTGTTTTGGAGATAAGCTTATAGTGCATCTCGTGGCCATCCTCGATGATTCACTAAGAAGATACTGCAAGACTTCTCTAATATAATGTATGTATACTAGGGCTAAATAACAAAACTGTCAAATCGCAAAACCAAATCGAAATTGCTTTTCTAAAATTGTTGGTTTGGGTCCGTGTAGATCAATCAACGTTTTGATTTTGAAGCAAACCAAACCTCTTAGAAGTAGTTTGATTAGGTTTCAATCTTTGCAAACCGTTTAAAAAAATCTGAAATATAAATTAAATTAAATTTTATCCAACCCAATTAAAACTAGACACGTATCATTTAAAAAGATATGTCTATCCATCCAATTAATTAATTAAATCATACTTAACTATTCATCAGTCATCACAACTATGAATGCAAAATCCTCAAATTGAGTGAAGTCTTGAATATCTGTTGCTGAATTATATTCATAGACCGTCCATTCATCCACAATTAATTCTGAGTTCGCATTCTTTACTAGTGGCCGAATTTTTTTATTCCTTTAATAGTTCGTTGAGTGTAAATATGGTTAATGTGGTGATTTCCACTAAAAATTGGTTGCAGAGTAACAAGAAACTATAGCGATTCATCAATATTTGGATGATGTGGAAACATTAGATGATTCACAAAAAGTTATATAATGTATTATCGTATTTGATATTTCTATCCATTTTATTTTATTAGTCGTTTTATGTCACTTAATTATAATCAATGAATTCATTTATTATATTTTTATCTTTACGGAGAGAATAAATCATGTGCTATAATTGCAGATGTTGCGTCAATTAGTATCGATTAATATGTTAAAATGTTTCTATCACGTCGTTGCATTATAATGATTAAATTATAGAACTTTGATTTGTAGTATTTTTTAATGATACTATTTACATTTTAACATGAAATTTTGGAAAATATATTTAGTGGCAAACAATTTAAAACTTTATTTTTGTCTGAAAACAACATGATTTCTCAAACAGTAAACTGCCAATCTAATCGATTAGTAACTTGGTGATTTGATGCTTGACTGGGTCGATTCTCAATTCGAATACAACATTTTCCAAAAGAAAACAAAAAAAGGCCTTTGTATGCCAGCACAAGTGTTCCTTCAACTAATTGTTCAACCAGTAACCATACGACCTCATATCTTGATGGGAATGGCTTAATGGCAGAAAATTCCCCTACAAAATATTCCCTTGTTGAAAATCGCTGGAAAGGTCCCCATTTGAAACTTTTTGTTCAAAATACTCCTCCGTCGTCAATATTCGTTAATTTAACCGTTAAAAAAGTAAAAAATGCCAAAATTAAAAATGAATAATTATAATTGCGGCCCTCGAACTTTTTTACAAATTATAACCAATCCTAAACTTTAAAAACTTTATCGTACATGGATAAGTTTATAGGGGGGTTTTCTGCTATTAATCATTTCTCGAATCAACTCCAACCACTTACCATAAAAAAGGGGAAAAAAAAAGAGGTTGCCCTAATAAAGTGCTCTTTCTAAAATATAGCCTTTATTCTTGTAAAATTAAAAGTTATTTTTTATATACAATCAAATTCAAATATTAATTTCAATTATACATTCGTCACTGCTATTCATTTATTAATCACGTATTTAATAAAATTCAATATTATCACTGTTTAAGATGTTATTAATAAAAATTTAATGTGTAATACCACATAATTGACCCATGCATCTTTTGTCACAATCCATGGAAAACGAAGGATTGGGCTATTATACGTAAAGCGGAATCTCTTATGAAACTGTCACTTTGTCTTGCCAGTTGCCACCATAGTTCTCTCTCTCTCTCGTTTTCTATGTTTGTTTTGTCTTAGATTTCATTCGAGAGGCTCTTCTTCACCTAACCTTGTAATAATTTATGTAAACAATAATGCATACGTACACAGCCCTGGATATCATCTTCGAACTCCACTATTTGGGCTTGCAATCAATAGCTTATCTTTCGATTTTAATATGCTCGAAATGGAAACAAATTAATACCCTTTTTGGTACCCTTTTTTATTCATATATATGTGAACATTTTTATATCCGATGTAAATCTTAGATTGCTTTGGCTGGGATTCTAGTACAAGGGGTCTGATTTATCAATCGGCTGCAAGTCTCATCTGGGATTAAAGAGAACAGGGCACTGTAAGTTACCCAGTTTGTCTTTTTTTCTCTGGCTTTCTTGGGAATGCATGATTTTTTTTTTTGTGACTCAGGCGTTCGAGTTTCATCTGACTAATCATGAGGAGTGACGACCTTCCCCCTGGTTCGGCACCTAGGTAAATTTGGATGGGATTACAACTTATAAACACTAGGGCCGGACATTTGAGGTGCGGTTATCCTCCATGTGGACCTCCCTTTACGATGTGCGGATAGGACCTCCGGAGGGACGACAAAGCGCACCATAACTTTGCCTCCACGGGACATCGCTTTCCAGCTGCTGCGGGGATTAGTACCTCCGATGCTCCGTAGAGAACCTCCTGCTTTACCACTGCACCATGCCCATGATTTGTTGATGGTGTTCTTGTTTCTAGTTTAGACATATGAATGATAAAATTTTAATCACGTGTCGGTATTATACTGCTGACTTCTAAGTCATTGTCTAAGCCTGATTCCAACGATATTTATACCAGATAAAGTTGGAATCTTGCTAAGTATACTGAAGTCTGAAACTGTCTTGATCTCAATCAGGGTGAAAAGAGATCCTTGGAAAAATCATGCTTAGAAGTGGTGCTTGGTGTTGATCTTTCATTTATTAGAAGAGATATTTATTGATACAATGTACTCATATTTTTATCTTATTTGGAACCAAATGATTGATTCTTGAATTTCGATTGGTTAAATGGTAAAAATTATAAAGGTTCAGCAAAACTAAAAACAATGAGTGAATGATTATTTTGATCAAATAATGCACACGGTGTTAAAGAAAACAAGAGAAGCAGAAAGGAACAAGTAGGATAATAGGAGGATACAGTGATCTCACTTGAAGTTGTNCTTTATATGCAATACTAAAAGCTTTAGTTATCCTAGTAGTGGTGGCAATGGGCCGAGCCGAGCCGGCTCGGCCCATTGACGAACGAGCTCGGCTCGTGTTTGCACGAGCCGAGCTCGTGGCTCGTCGGCAACGAGCCGAGCTCGCCCAAAGCGGGCGGCTCGACGAGCCAAGCTTAAGCTCCACATAATTGACCCATGCATCTTTTGTCACAATCCATGGAAAACAAAGGATTGGGATATTATACGTAAAGCGGAATCTCTTATGATACTGTCACTTTTGTCTTGCCAGTTGCCACCATAGCTCTCTCTCTCTCTCTCTCTCACACACACACACACACACTTCGTTTTCTATATTTGTTTTGTCTTAGATTTCATTCGAGTGGCTCTTCTTCACCTAACCTTGTAATAATTTGTGTAAACTATAATGAATACGTACACAGCCCTGGAGACTGATGAACAAACATATGATCTTCGAACTCCACTATTTGGGCTGGCAATCAATAGCTTATCTTTCGATTTTAATAGCTTATCTTTCGATTTTAATATGCTCGAAATGGAAACAAATTAATACCCTTTTTGGTACCCTTTTTTATTCATATATATATGAACATTTTTATATCCGATGTAAATCTCAGATTGCTTTGGCTGGGATTCTAGTACAGGGGTCTGATTTATCAATCGGCTGCAAGTCTCATCTGGGATTAAAGAGAACAAGGCACTGTAAGTTACCCAGTTTTGTCTTTTTTCTCTGGCTTTCTTGGGAATGCATGGTTTTTTTTTTTTTGTGACTCAGGCGTTCGAGTTTCATATGACTAATCATGAGGAGTGATGGCCTTCCCCCTGGTTCGCCACCAAGGTAAATTTGGATGCGATTACAACTTATAAACACTAGGGCCGGACATTTGAGGTGCGGTTATCCTCCGTGTGGACCTCCCTTTACGATGTGCGGACAGGACCTCCGGAGGGACGACAAAGTGCACCATAACTTTGCCTCCACGGGACATCGCTTTCCAACTGCTGCGGGGATTAGTACCTCCGATGCTCCGTAGAGAACCTCCTGCTTTACCACTGCACCATGCCCATGATTTGTTGATGGTGTTCTTGTTTCTAGTTTAGATATATGAATGATATAATTTTAATCACATGTCGGCATTGTACTGCTGACTTGTATGTAAGCCTGATTCCAACGATATTTATACCAGATAAAGTTGGAATCGCTAAGTATACTGAAGTCTGAAACTGTCTTGATGAGAAATCAGGGCGAAAAGAGATCCTTGGAAAAGTCATGCTTAGAAGTGGTGCTTGGTGTTGATCTTCCATTTATTAGAAGAGATATTTATTGATACAATGTACTCATATTTTTATCTTATTTGGAACCAAATGATTGATTCTTGAATTTCGATTGGTTAAATGGTAAAAATTATAAAGGTTCAGCAAAACTAAGGGCTTGTTTGGTACAGATTTTCGTTTTCTACAGTAAATCAATTCTCATTTTCAACCACACATTCTTCAATAAAATAATATTTTCCATCACATCAATACTTTTTTCTTCTTTTTCAACCACACATTTCCTATCATATCACTATTCAAAAATCAATTCTTCNCACACATTTTTCAATAAAATAATATTTTCTATCACATCAATAATCTTATCTTTTTTTTCAACCACACATTTCCCATCATATCACTATTCAAAATCAATTCTTCCCCCAAAAAATCCCTACCAAACACACACTAAAAACAATGAGTGAATGATTATTTTGATCAAATAATGCACACGGTGTTAAAGAAAACAAGAGAAGCAGAAAGGAACAAGTAGGATAATAGGAGGATACAGTGATCTCACTTGAAGTTGTCCTTTCCACTTCATCAACATGTGTCTATCAGTGAATAAACTAGAAATACAGTGATCTCACTTGAAGTTGTTAGATGATTAATGTTTCTCCAAAACGATCATGTAGCTACTTGGTAAGAATGTCTGATTTTTTAATAACTTTCGATATTGCTAAATATTGGCCATCAACAAAAAAAAAAAAACATGGGTAGTGTTGATTTAATGAAATGGTTGAAATCATTCATGATTTTGTAGCTGGACTTTATTGGTGGTTTTTTTTTTGTTTTAATCAATAACCCATCCTCGACTTTATGGGTGCTATTGTAGCGGTGATGTAGTAGCTTCTCACCCTGCCTGTTGGCGATGTCTTCGTGTCTGTTTTGTACATTTACCTCGATTCTAGGAGATAATGTACTTCCAAAGAACATTAGGATGATCCAACTGTTTTGTGCTTGCCTCCTTAGCAGTTATATTATTGAGAAAGTTAGCTTTGATGTTAGTGACATCAAAGACACATCCAATTGAAGCTTATAAGCCAATGAATCACTTTTGGCTAATGATGCTAACTCCCCTTTTGTAGTTTATAATTCCTCAACTTTCAGCGAGGGAATAATACTAAAGATGTTCAATAAGGCTTTAGATTACGAATCCCAAGAAAATATTATGTGGAGAAGCAGAAATGCAAACACTACAAGTACACCATCATCTGCAACTAGCAGCCATAATAGACATAATAATGAACATCCCACACATATTGATTGGGAAGACGAGTACGAAGATAGTAGCTTTGGCCTTCATCAAGAAAGCAGTTAGGTCTTCATCAAGAAAGCTGTTATTACAACTCTGGTGATGCTATGAAAGATTTGCAAGTAAATGGATTGGAATGCAACATCTACTTGAACGCATCTGACATATCCCTAGAAGAATTTGAAGAAGAGAAACTGTGCATCCTAGAGGATCTCAAGGCTCTGGAAGCCTAACTTTTCGCATTGGGTGATGATGAGCAACAATTACCTGCTGATATAAAGCCAGATGAAAATTTCACGTCCATAAATGTGAATAAGTACGATGAGAGTTACTAGATTTTCAGTCCTGAAGAAAACCAATCAGAGAGAAAAGAAGCAGGTTCTATGGCAAAGAGACTCCTTCCACTTCTTCATGCAGCTGATACTGATACTGTAGAAGGGGAACTGAATCAAGTGGAGATCTATAAGCAACCAACTTGGACGAGTAACAGTTTATTCAGTGGATCTGAATTGGAACAAAATGAGCTCTCCATCCCGGAGGAGCTTCATTGCATGCATCAGAGGCTATGGGCTCTTGAAGCAGATATGGAGTTTCTGAAGCACTGCTTATGCTCCATCAAAGAAATTCTGCAGCATCTTTGTAATCTGAAATCTGTGGAACTCTCCGCTATAAACTTGGCTGGAAGCATTGCAACATGATTTATTACTGGACTACAGAAGAATGACAGTTTACGTTTCTAAGCCGAGTCTATCTTTCAATTTATATTGTGGATTTAGTAGGAGAACTTTCAAATAATTGGATTTTGATATTGGGTTTTCTTAATATATAAAATCACATTTTACTAAGGCTTTCTAGTTCCTGTAAAACCATATCTAGCTCCATAGCTTGGGGATGAGATTTATCTCCAACTACAAACTCATGGACTGCATCTTTTACCTGAATCCAGCTTCTACCTGGGGGCTTTTCTTGCATTACTTCTCTCATTTTTAACCGAATGTGACTGACTTTGCTCCATTGATTCTCGTTCGCATACATATTCGATAAAAGCACAGGGGCTCCTCCACTTCTCTCAGTGACCAACTTAATCTTTTTCAGGATGGTTTCCCCCAATTCCACATTGTTGTGAAGCCTGCAGGCATTAAGTAAAGATCCCAATATGGCCAGATTCGGCTCCCATGGCATCTTTTGGACAATGCTGTAAGCTTGCTTGAGCATGCCAGCTCTACCTAGGAGGTCAACAATACAACCATAGTGCTTAAGATTGGGCTCAATCTCGTATTTTGTTTTCATACACTCAAAAATGCGTAAACCTTCTTCAACCAGTCCTGAATGTGCACAAGCTGAAAGAGTAGCGATGAAAGTTATAGCATCAGGAATTAGTCCATGCACTAACTCCATTCGAGAAAACAGATTTAGACCATCAACTCCTCCGTGCATTGCATAACCTGAGATAACTGCAGTCCAAGAGTACAGATCCCTTTTTGAATCCTGCATTTCATCAAACACTTTTGCTGAACATTTCATACTTCCACTTTTCGCATAAGCATTTATAAGTGAATTAGCAATGGCGACATCCAATTCAAGCCATCCGGCCTTTTCTAGCAAAGCATGAAAACACTTTGTATGATCCAAGGATCCTAGATTACCACAAGCCGACACAGTAGAGATCATAGTAGGGACATTTGGTTGCATTTGGCAATTCCCAGCTATCATTTCCCTGAACACATGAAGTGCTTCGCGATAATTACATTGTTCGACAAGCCCTGATATTAAAGCTGTCCATGAAACAACATCCTTCTCAAGCATTTCATCGAACAATGACCATGCATCATCCGACGACCCACAAACTAGATAAGCACTAAGAAGAGAATTTTGTACAAACAATTTGCTGCCAAGCTGGAGTTTGAAAACGTGACTATGAATCTGTTTAACCAACCCCAAATCAGAAATAGCCACACAAGCCTGAACCAAGAATGGAAATGTATAGTTATCAGGAACCACTTCCTGCCTAACCATTTTCATGTAATAATTCAAAGCCATAACAGAATTTTGAGAATCGGCACATTCAGCAAAGAATCTGATCACTGTATTCCAAGAAAATATATTGGGTTTCTCAATTTGATTAAAAATTTGAACTCCAAACTCAGATTTTCTCTTAATATCTCCTTCCAATTCAAACAAACTCAAATAAAGAACGCGGCTCATGACGAAAGGGTTCCGATGGAGACCCGAAACAATGATGTAAGAGAGAGCTTGTTCGAAATGATGAAATGTACTGCAATTTTCCTCAAGAACTCGTAAGCGGGGGTGTCTTTGGAACAACTGGTTGTGGTGAACCCAATTGGAAGAAGTGGTTAGGGATGAAAACTTGATTGTTCTACCAAGATTTAACGGCAGCAGCAACTGTCGAAAGTGCAACTTGAATAGCATTCGAATTTCCTCTCCAAAGTCAAACGTGAAGAGCAATAAGAATGGTGGGGGGTAAAAGTTGCGGAAAATAATCCTATAGCTTGAATCAGCAGATGCACTAGAGTGTAGAGCCAAGCACAAAACAAAAACAAAGTACATCAAAATGGCAATTGGCTGAGAGCACAAATGCAGTTAAAGAGAGACATTTTATGCTCCATTGGTTAGTACGAAGTAACATGTACATATGATGCAATAACATAGTTATCTGGGGGGAATGTTCTATAACTCCTCAATCTTATTGAGAATCCATGCCAACATTTCTTCACTCATATTGAACTCTCTTCGTCAAAAGTCTGATCATCCACGATGAATTTATGTTCGTGGTTTTGTGTAGGTATAGTTGGCGTCTGGCCAGGCACTGTTTTTTTTCATTCGGTGTGTTAACTTGATGGCATCTGGATATAGGCTCTTTTGGTAGTACGACTAGGAAATATATAGGATTTATGATTCGGAATCGGAATGTTTGAGAGATGACAATAAACATAGATAAAAAGATTGAAACGTGTTTTGTAATTTAATGTTGTCCATCAAAACGTTTCTTTAACGTAAGAATCAAGATATATAAGCTTGCTTATATGTTGTTTCAAGACCAAATGTGTGTTTATTGTTCCCAATAATTTGATCCATATATAGATATCCAATTCAAACTCCATTTCTTGACGACTATAATCAATTAAGATATTGTAATTAATAAAAGAAATAAATGGAAAACTCTATTTCTAAGAAATAAAATTCAACGGAGAAAAATAAATGATAAAGGGAATTTTGCTTTCAATTTACGCCCTAAACTAGTGATTACACACAATAAAAACAAAACTATTTATAGAGAAATTATTATGCATTAAATGTACATTTAAGCGGCAACCTGTGGTGGATAAGAATTTATGTATATGATTAGGACTTTTAACTGAGACATTGAAAATCAGTGCCAAAATTACTTGCAAATCTAAAAAAGAAGTGTATTATCATATGTGGACATAACGTTTTTAATGTTGTTCAATATTGTCTAATTCAACATATCAAACAAGCATTGACATGAATGTCTAGATGTGCTTGATGTCTTTTTTTAATATTAATTCAAAATTATCTAATTTAATGTATCAAACATGTCATCATTATTCACTGTATTGATGATTTGGCATGAATAACTAGTTGTGCCCAACTCATAACGCCATACAAGAATTCAGAATTCTATAAGAAAACATCTACCATGTGCTATATATGTTTGCCCAATTCTTGAAATGAGTTGGCCAACTGTTTGAAGACAAACTATCAACAACCCAATTGACAGATTTGAGTAAAGGATCCTCATGGGCCCTCATCAGGTTCAGAAAATGCAAGCATTCTCCCCAATGGAAAACAATCACCTAATATTTGAAAACTTGGGAAGTGGGCTTGACTAAAAAAAACCACTGAACAGCAACTGAATTACCCCTTATAAATTGCCTTCAACTTACACATTTTCAGCAAGATGGCAAAAATGGCAGCAATTTGCAATGTCTTGATCATTTCAGCAGCCTTAGCGGCCGCCCCTTCGATGGCCACATCCTTAGTCACCTTTGTTTTCGGTGACTCGTTAACAGAAGTTGGGAACAACAACTACCTACAATTCTCCCTTGCGAAGTCGAATTATCCATTTTACGGGGTTGATTATATTGGTGGAAAAGCAACGGGGAGATTCACAAATGGAAGAACCATTGGTGACATTATATGTAATAGATTATCTGTATTCTTTCTTCATGATGATTTGTTTCAAATTGCACTGAAAATCTCAACAATGAAATGACATTATTTTTCTTTATTTTATGGAAAATTTCAGCTTCAAAGCTTGGGATCCCTGCACCCCCACCATATCTTTCACTGGCACCAAATGATGATGCACTACTAGAAGGAGTGAATTATGCATCTGGTGGAGCTGGAATTCTCAATGACACAGGGCTTTACTTTGTAATCTTTATTTCCCCGCAGTACTTTTCAATGAAAATGACCTAAAATTATAAATCTCATAATATTAATTTGGTTTAACAATTCTTGCCTTCATATTTCATTGCTGTAAGCCTTTGCATTAGCAGATACAGAGGCTATCATTTGATGATCAGATAAAGAATTTTGAGAAGACAAAGGAATCAATCAAGGCTAGAATTGGTGAAAAGGGAGCCAACAAGCTTTGCAAGGAAGCAGTCTATTTCATTGGATTAGGTATGGTTGCCAACCCAAAGAATACAGAATTTTTTTCCTATAAACTTCGCAAGTAAATGTGGCGATCTCTATGGATATGTTATAATTAAATTGTTTGATAAGGTGGACTGAGTATCACTCTTAACTAATGAAACACAAAAAAGTTAAAATCTTATTCATTATATTATTCTAATCAAATGTTCCGATTCAAATGTTTCCTCTTCAACATCATCTTTCAGGTAGCAACGATTATGTCAACAATTTTCTTCAGCCATTCCTGGCAGATGGTCAACAATACACACATGACGAGTTTTTGGGGCTTCTAATCTCAACCTTAGGCGAACAACTCACAGTAAGAAAATCTTCCAATCAAATCAGTAAAATAATTTGTTCCATCAAAATTCCGGGAATCACTTAAAATGCATTCACAATTAATACGCAAATCATATGAAACCTGGGATATTAATTTGATTACTATTTGGATGCAATTTCTTGAAACTGTTTTATCAGAGGCTTTACCGACTTGGTGCACGAAAGATGTTGTTCCACGGGCTTGGCCCGCTTGGCTGCATCCCGTCCCAGAGGGTAAAATCAAGCCGAGGACAATGCCTAAAGCAAGTCAATCTGTGGGTGCAGCAATTTAACTCCGAAGTACAGAAGCTAATAGCCAATCTAAATAGACATCTCCCATCTGCACAATTAACCTTTGCAGACACTTATCAAGCAGTTTTTGATTTAATCGACAACCCTACTGCATATGGTAAGGCTGGGTGAATACATTTATGTACAAAAAACTCATTTACACTCGAACAAAACCAGTGTAATCATAAGTGAAGCTGATTTTGAATTTTACTGATTTTGAATTTTACTAAATCAGGTTTTAAGGTATCGAATACATCATGCTGCAATGTGGACACACAACTTGGAGGGCTTTGTGTACCTAACTCAAATGTATGCAAGAATCATAGCGAGTACGTATTTTGGGATGCTTTCCATCCTTCAGATGCTGCAAATGAAGTGCTTGCAGGAAAACTCTTCGCCGAGCTTTTCTCCCACCCTCCTTCAGCTGCTCCAGTGCCATCCCCTTGAACAGTTTTGAGTACTCAATTAAGTTTAAGAAGCCTATAAATAGAACAGATTACATAAACATAGCATTGGATGCTAAGGAAACTTTGCCTCAATCTTTGATAGCCAGTTCCACATACAATGATAATATGATAAAAAATCAAAGGAAATTTAAAAGATAGAATTTCAAGTTTGTAGTCCGACTTTCATCTCAAATTATTCCAAGGATATGTAACATATCAGTACATTGTATTGAACAACATCGTGAGTTGCTCTATCCATTTAACTGCCTTTTACTCATATTTGTAACAAAAATGTTTTCTTGGAAGCTTTTGTTAAGGGAAGAGTAGTAGAGAATCAAGAGATAAAAAAAATATATTACTTCAGTACAAACCTTAATTCAACAATCCCCATAATCTCCTAACCAGATAAAGAATACGGTATTTCAGTAAGTTTTCTGTACATAACTTTCTACTTCAGTGCAAAAATCACGTGGATCTGATTGTTACTCTTCACCTCGAAATTTGTCATTCATTTCTTCACGAGACAGATTCAATTTATATCGCGGAAATTTTTGTGCAACAGAAAATTAGCTCAAAATTCTTTTAAGTTGTTCTTGGTTGAGTTACCAAGCTACAATAGCACAGCACTCCATCCTATCACTCCAACCACAATATATGCTGCAGCTGAAAACGCATTGCCATAGATGAACTTGCCAGCAGAGTTTGAGCTCTTGGAATCCATAGCTGGAATGGTACTATTTAGAAGGGTTCCATTTTTGTCTCCACTGCATGAACATGGAAGGAATATTAAAATGCACGCATAATAGCTAATCAATATATGAAGTCAGATAATCAATGCATGTTTGGTACATAATATTAAATAGGACTAAACAGTATAATCTTAAATGTGTGTGTCTCTGTGTGTGTTGTCTTTCATCTAAGATAGAAAATAAGAAACTTGTGGAAAATTTATATACCTTCCGAGATATAAGCAAGAACCATGACCTGCAACAATAATTCAATGAAGAAATTTAAGTCATTCAGGTCATCCATATGCAAAATGTAGCATTAAAATTATGCCCTTGCTTGATGTTTATTTCATGAGAAGTGATTTTTTGGAGAATGTGTGATAAAAAGTGGGAAAAGTTACGAGTCAATGTGCATAAATATATTTTTTTGGGATGACGTGATTGAAAATGAGTTTGAGATTAAGAGATTTCGAAAAAATCTAAATCAAACAAGGGTTATATCAGAATAGTTTCAACATACTTGGATTTGTGGTAGTGATGGTAGCCACCCCATTGAAATCGCAACTTTCAGGAGTCTTTCCGGTCTGATGATAATACATGTTGAAGGCATAAGTTGCGTGTGCAAAAATGTTATCTGGATCGTAACACGATTGTCCCTGCAATAGAGGCGAACAATCCACCTTGCCAGGTCCACAAGCCCAGTCCAGAGCAGCCTGCAGCATTTTGGCATCTGCGCCATCTTTTGCAGTACAAAAAGTCTGGTTTCCAGTATCATTTGCCAACACGGATCCTGAGCCGGTCAAGTGCAAAATATACACGGGCACCCCATTTGCATCAAATAGTCCCCAGTTCTTCTCAGACACAGGCCCGGGTTTTGTATCTTCATTGTAGAGCTCATAAATGTAAGTGCTAACGATAATTCCAGGATGCTTAGGGGTCCCGGTATTGTTCAATACATGTCTTATCAAATTGCTATTGTAAGTGTTGGCATTATCTAAAGTAGCATCTGGCTCATTTGAATCACCTTTTGATGGCCAGCCAGTTTCAGTCACCATAACAGGAATATTAGTGAAGTTAAGATAAGCCATTGCAAAATAAGCAGCATCAACCATGGCGTCAAAAACATTAGAGTAATGAAGAAGGGTGTTTGCGTCGACAGCTTCTTTGTTCGAAGGAAGAGGCTTTAAAAGAGCATAATCTAGTGGAATGACACCATTTGATTGCATGTAATCAAAATATGGATAAACGTTTAGCATGAAATACGAACCCGTCGATTGCAAGAAATTGAGCATGGGAATTAGCACCGGATTCCAAGAGTGGTTAAAGAAGGATTGAGATGGTGGGAATGAGTCGAGGATAATGGAAGATGCAAGAGGTGTAGAAACTTTGATTTGTTTATCGAGATTGGACGCCACAAGCGCTGACTGGATAAACTCTAGGGCGTTGACAAGAACACGTGCGGCATTTGGTAGGGATGTTAGAACCTCAGAACCAACACAGATTGTTGTAATATTGGTAGCTGGATAATGTGCTACAACATTCTGTGACACCCAATTTGCAGCAGTTGAATTTGATTGACCAATGCCTAGTAGTTGTTCATTGGGGATAGAGATAGCAACTTTGATACCTGTATTGGCAAGTGCAAGAAGCATACCACGGTCCGCATTGTACAGCCTGACATGTCGGATTTGCTGAGCTTTGAGGAGTGCAACTACCTGTGTCGGGTGTGGCATGTCCGAGAGATCTGTTCCGATATTCACGCCAACAAATGCATCTGGAAAAATTCAATTTTCATGAATTGAATATGGTTTCATAAATTCGAGCACTTGTATAAACTAAAATGCACAAAAGTGTGAACTAACATCCTCCTTGTTTCTTAATGCACTGGTATTGACCGAGGACTACAAAATTCTACTGGCATTATCCTATCAAATGAGACAATGTGGGTATATCCACATCTTTAACCTGACTTGATAGTAAAAACAGCACGATAATAATTAAAATTCAGTTCAATGATTTTAACACCACCTGGAATGATAGAGGATTAAACTTAGTTCTTAAATTAGAGCAGATTTCTAGATTTAATTCAACTATAACCGTTTTTTTCTTGTGCTTCCCTCTGACAAAATACATGTGCAAAGATAATCTGAAGAGGAACTTCGCACTTTTCACACGTACATAGTGAGAAATGCCACTTTTAAGTTGGTCGCAAAATTTTCACAAATTGAACTGAAACAAGAATCACAACCGAAAACGAACAATTAAAAAAAAAAAAAGGAAAGAAATGAGCCTGAGCCACCAAATAATAGCAGGTGGCAATAATTCCCTTTGGATTCCAAGTCCTATCTAAAGGGAATAAATTGTTGACGACTTGAGACAAAGAATTTGACTATTTGTTGGAAAACTTGTACATATACATAATATAAAAAGGAATAAAAGTAAATCATGAGCTGGAAACAATGTTTTTTTGGTCTTGTTGTTTTGTTCTAGAGTTATAATTTGTTCCATTATACAATGGAAAAAAATATATAAGAAAATATCGGCTTCCCAAGGCATTTGCAATTACAAATAGTGCTACTGGGAGCTGTACAATGGCAGAAGGCAATTAGGTGTTTCGATGAATTGTTCAAAATGACAGAACTCCTTTCACTAGCCATTGATGAAACTCCTTCGGCTGTTACTTTGCAGAAAAGCTAACTTGAAAGTGTTGTTAATAATTAAAAAAAAAAAAGTTAACTCTGAAAATAAATTTTCACAAAAAAAGTAACTCAAAACTTACATTTAAGCAAAGGTAAACCCATCACATCCCCCCATCACATCCCCCCTTCCCTGTTGAAGACTTGACTCCAACCATTATGAAAATTGGGAAAATTATGCACGCTCATGTTTCACAAAAAAAAAAATATATGTGGGAAGAAATATTAGTCTCCAATAGTATTCTTCATATATTTTTCTACTTTACTTGTACCCCCCAATAAAAAAGCAATTCTAAACTCAGTGAAATCTTTAAAATATCAAGAAAACAATGCAAAATATATATTTTAGACATGGGAGATCCCAAAAAGAACATGCTTATAATGCACATATATACCCCGTTTCTTCAATTCTACATAGGTTACCAAATCAACTATTCCACAATAAAATAAAAACACTCTACCTGCTACAACAGCATATGAACAATCATAAAATACCGAGTATCTTTAAAAGAATGTGTGTTTGTGTGTTTTTACCTTCATCTGCAGAAACAGCTGACGCTGTCAAAACTAAAAGCAGCAAGAGCATTGCCATGTATAACTTCTTGAAAAACCACTCAAGAAAATGCAAAAGAAAAAAAGCAAGAAACTTGAGAGGAAAAAAAGTGAATAAGACGAAGCAAAATGGGAAGAACCTGAATAAATCAGAGTGGGGTAAAGGTGAGATTGAAAGGATATTTAAGACAGAGACAGAGAGGAAATGTTTGGCGTCAATCTCTAAAGGTTCTTGGTCAGATAATCCAACGGCTAAGAAATTATCTTCATTTTGTTCTTTTCTTTGTGATTACTTTTTGAATTTTTAATAATTGGAGAAATGAACTTTCTACAGTTCCACAGTGGAAGAAGAGTGAGGCAATGTGTTTTGAATCATGCTATGTGTGCAATTGTGATTGACAACTTCACATTTGATTGTATCGTGTCAATTCATTTTATAAATTATTAAGAACTAATTTTTAAACCATCGAATTTTCACAATACTAAAATTATCAACAATAATTGTACAAATAACTTAATTGATGTGTTTTTGGGAATTCCTGTCTTGAACTGAGAAACCCACTTTTATTGTAGCCGTTACAGGCAATTAAATACATGTTTGGTTGTTATGTTTATCTTATGTGCGCATTTTAAGAGAGAAAGTAGGCTCAGTAGGGCCAATATGTACCAACAAACGACGCGATGACGGACTGAGGTTGTCTTGTCCGAGAATACAGCTGGTTTCAACGGTCAAATTCCGATTCCTTTTCCTTTGTTTCTGCTCCTCGTATAGATTCCATAACATTATTTTCCTTTTCCTATTCTCCAGTTAATTATTTTGATCATATCCGTATTAATGCACAAATCATGTTCGACAGTCATTTTTTTTATGAGAGATGCTACGTGTACACAATGAATGTACACACGACTTTACACTCCCCTCACATGAAGTGGACCCATACATAATAAAATATTCGTGGGCCCCCCTCCATGTGATGGGGATGTAAAGTCGTGTGTACACCATAGCATTTTTCTTTTTTTTTTTTTTTACAAAAATGAGTTTTTAAATAGTAAATTTTTAAAGAATGTGTGATTAAAATGTGTCAAAAAATTTGAATTCACGTAAAGATATTTTATTGTGAAAATGCATGATTAAAATGAGTAGGAAATAAAATTAAAAAAAATAATTGTCAAATAGGGGCTAAATTAAGAGCAATCATATTTATTCCAAACTAGTCATAATCAATGAGTTGATTGAGTACTGGACATTTACAACGACCTAGGAGGATTTGAGAACAGTGGATTTCTACTCGGATGAGCCCTTGACTTCTGCATGGACGTGTCAATCCGGATGGTTCGGGCCTGATCGGCCCTCCAACATATGAGCCCGGTAACAGTCCGCGTGAAAAAAAGCCCGTCCGCTACAGGTTCCGGGCCGGTTCCGTGTCGGCCCACAAATTTTGGACTACAACCATGATCCGCCCACTGACTCATTCAGGTCGAGCCCATGTGGGTCACGGGTGGCGGTTTGTTTCGATTTGGGCCGTATGATTGTATAAATAAAATTATAAAAATATAGAATTTTTCATATTTATAGCAAAAAATATATTTTTTTATTAAATGTAAACTAAGAATTGAACAAAATGATAAATTCATAATTATATCAAGAAATTTTTACATAGAATTCAA